GAGGGTCCATCTAGTCCAGCCTCCTGTCCCACACAGTGGCCAGCCAGTTCATCTGGAGGGCCAGCAACAGGGCAGAGAGGCCGAGGCCTTCCCCCGATAAGAACACCAGAAGAGCCCTGCTGGATCAGACCAGGGAGGGTCCATCTAGTCCAGCCCCCTGTTTCCCATAGTGGCCAGCTGGTTCCTCTGGAGGGCCAGCAACAGGGCAGAGAGGCCGAGGCCTTCCCCTGAGAAGAACACCAGAAGAGCCCTGCTGGGTCAGACCAGGGAGGAGCGTCCCTCTAGTCCAGCCTCCCGTCTCACACAGGGGCCAGCCAGTTCCTCTGGAGGGCCAACAACATGGCAGAGAGGCCGAGGCCTTCCCCTGATAAGAACCTCAGAAGAGCCCTGCTGGGTCAGACCAGGGAGGGTCCACCTAGTCCAGCCTCCCGTCTCACACAGGGGCCAGCCAGTTCCTCCAAAGGGCCAGCAACAGGGCAGAGAGGCCGAGGCCTTCCCCTGACGTCGCCTCCTGGCTCTGGGACTCAGAGGCTTAGTGCCTCTGGACGTGGAGGTTCCCCATAGTCCCTGTGGCTCGTGGCCATTCACAGACCTCTCCTCCATGCATCCATCTCCTCTCCACTCCTCCTACACAGCGGCCAGCATTCAGCACCTGCTTGTACCCATTTTCACAGCCAGTTGTCGTGCGGCCTGCTATTTAAGTGCTGCACCTCACTGGGCAGAGCGGCCTCCTTACTCCCGCCTGCGTTCTCTTTTACACACTAGCGAGGGGACGGAGGCAGTGCCCGAGACGTGGGGTGCAGGGGCTCCACAGAGGCACCCCAGCAGCTGTTTCCCCAACTGCACTTTGCCAGGCGAGGCTCACCAAGCTGCCAGCCGAAGACGGTGTCCACCTCGAAGCGCGCCTTCTCCTCCTCGCCAGCGATGCTCTTCAGCGTTTCCTTCAGGCTGCTCTGCAGGGGGGTCGCCTTCCTTTCCCCTTGCAGCTCCGCTTAGTGCCTCTGGACGTGGAGGTTCCCCATAGTCCCTGTGGCTCGTGGCCATTCACAGACCTCTCCTCCATGCATCCATCTCCTCTCCACTCCTCCTACACAGCGGCCAGCATTCAGCACCTGCTTGTACCCATTTTCACAGCCAGTTGTCGTGCGGCCTGCTATTTAAGTGCTGCACCTCACTGGGCAGAGCGGCCTCCTTACTCCCGCCTGCGTTCTCTTTTACACACTAGCGAGGGGACGGAGGCAGTGCCCGAGACGTGGGGTGCAGGGGCTCCACAGAGGCACCCCAGCAGCTGTTTTCCCAACTGCGCTTTGCCAGGCGGGGCTCACCGAGCTGCCAGCCGAAGACGGTGGCCACCTCGAACCGCGCCTTCTCCTCGCCAGCGATGCTCTTCAGCGTTTCCTTCAGGCTGCTCTGCAGGGGGGTCGTCTTCCTTTCCCCTTGCAGCTCCTGGAGGCCCAGGGCTTCCCGCGGCAGGAGGGGCCCGTCGTAGCCAGCTCTCTCCAGGCAGGCGGCGGAGTTGATGTGGATCATCTTTAGCCGGTAGTTGTGCCCCTTGGGGGACTGGTCGCCTGGCCAGGAAGGAAAGGGGGAGGGAGCAGAATGAAGGAGGAGGAGGAGGAGATTGGATTTATACCCCGCCCTTCAGTTGGGAGTCTCAGAGTGGCTTACAAACTCCTTTTCCCTTCCCCTCCCCACAAGAGACACCCTGGGAGGTAGGTGGGGCTGAGAGAACTCTGACAGAAACTGCTCTTTTTCAAGAACAGCTCTTATCAGAACTATGGCTTGCCCAAGGTCATCCAGCAGCTGCAAGCAGAGGAATGGGGGAATCAAACCCAGCTCTACCAGATTAGAGTCCGTGCATTACCCACCATCCAGTCCAGCCTCCTTTCTCACACAGGGGCTAGCCAGTTC